TTTGTTGTCCTTCGAGTCGTTTGGCTGGCGTTTGGCTGGTGGTTGACTCTGTGTGTCCTTCTTGTGGACCCCTTGCCACTTTGCACGCGCAGTTCCGAAACCATGCAGCCCTTACTCTTCTTTGTGCGGAGCCAACACTTAATATCTTGCATGGAAGGTCGCAAAAACATTTCAGGATTCGCAGCCTTGGCGCATGCAAAAAACAGATTGAGGTCATGGATCAGAGCAGGAGTCAGGACGTTAAGGCAGAGGCCATCACGTTTCCGCTCCTCGTACATAAAGGTGGCATTGCCGTGTACGTAGCTGCGTCGCACTCGCTCCTAGCTGAACCGGAACGCGTGCGAGCAATGCCAAAAGACACCTGTTCCAGCGGAGTCCCGCCCAAAGGTCCCAGCCACGCAGCTCTCCGACGCGTGCCCCCAGCTCTCCGCACTGCTCCCTCACGCGGCCTCCGGCGTCAGCAAGCGCTGCCGAAGGTCAGGGCGCTGGGCCAAGAGCACGGCCACCTGCAGAAGGGCGAAGCTGAGGTTCCGCGCAATGGAATGGCCACATCACAAACAGCAAATGCGGTACAAGATCGGCACATTCACCACAAACCTGCTCCCTAAGTTGAAAGAAGCGGGTTGACGCCACCGGAAGCCGACTATGGCTGAATCAGACAAATCCGAGCCCCAAGCAAAGTTGGGCAGCAGGTTGGGGTACTCTGGCAGCACGTAGACAAGCGAGCTGAGACCAACCTGCTCGAGGCAAGATGCGCTCTGGGTGTGGGCTATCTCAACCCGTTCGATCCTCGGCTTCATTTGGCATTTTCTCAGTTGCCGATGGATACCGCAACGCCTTGCTTTGACCATGGCGCAACCCGAAAGCCAGCCACAGTGAAGGCACGACGAAAAAGCTGCAAACAGATTCTACTTGCTAAGTGATGGGGATGAATGTCCCGGCGTGAGCTCTCAAACTGGAAGCCGCCGATGCTTTGCTTGCGGTGCCAACACGACACATCCAGTTCTGTGAAACTGTTCCTGAAGTTCGTTCACCAAGAGAAAGGCGCGGACCTGATGAAACTGAGTGCAAGCAACTCAGACAACATACACCCCTCTTGTCCAATTCAAGGACTGGCAGCACAAAAGCAGCCCCAAACGGCTGGCGATTCGCTGGTTAAGGGGGGAAGTTGCCCAGATCTCCTTTCTTTAAATCGTCATAGCGGTGAACCAATTCTTAGGGGAAGCCAGCCCCGCCTGCAAGACGTTCTTGGAGTTGCTCACCACAAAGAGTCTGCTGATGATGCCCAGCACCTCATCGATCATAGTCTCTGCGCTGGCCTCGCGAGTTCTAAAGAAACCCTAAAGAGAACTCAGCCGGCACATAAATGCTGCAAACTCTCCCTCTTCTCATGGCAAGCGAAGCAGAAGGGGGTCCAACATACAACATAAAGTAAACGCGTGGTGCCAATTAAATCAAAGTTCATCCCTAAACAAACTTAAGTCTGTTTCCAAGCTGGGTGCCGCCAGTCGGGATGCCCCAGCGTCGTTTGGCCTTCAAGTGCTGTCAGGGTACGGACCAATATGGAACGTGCAACCTGGCAGAGGCATTTATTTCATTGGCTGCCTTAAATCTTTGGGTTGTCCCCGTCCCTGCCGTGGCAGGAATAGCCAGGGGTGTGTAGTGCTCGGCCAGTAGCTGTCCCAGTAGGCAAAAAGTCTATGGGCCAGGCATGCGGTCTTTCCTTCCTCTCTTTGCTGTCTAGGCAAGCAACTCTATACGGCATGCACCACCATGTGGAACGATTCAACTGTCCCCGACAACTTTGTTGGTGTAACGTACACAAGAATGCCCCTTTAAATCCACGTATGCAGCCACATGAAGTGCTTGAACATGCCATGAAGTGCATAGCAAAACCCTAGATGCCAGGGCAAATGCACTGGAGCTCAACAACTTTAGCATGGGAGCTGGCGCTGTGTTTTCTGTGCGCCTCAGTCTCATCTGCCCTGCTAGCTCCGCCTAAGGCAGGGGAGAGGACTGGAGGTCAAGTGCCAGCAACCCATTCCCTTGCCCCTGTGCTGAACAACATGCGTCATGCAATGTTTCAAAACTAGGGAGCCTTTCGGATGAGTTGCAGGAAAACGCACGGAGAAGCAAGCTTTCAAGGGTTCTGTCCAATTCTGACACATGCCAAAGCGTCAAAGGACCCTGCAATCTGGATATCTGGATATATGGATGGCTAGGATCCAAAATTGCCGCCCGTGCCACAGTGCAGTCTTTCGGCAACCAACGTCCAGTCATCGACACCGAAATGCAGCAGGGCTGACAACAGCTTGATCAAAATTGTTGCCATCCAAAAACATGCGGCTATTGCACCGCCTCCTCATGAGCCCTACCTGTTCTGAGCCAGTTCTGCCACCTAGAGTGTATGCGTGTGTGTGTGCGATTCCTTCCCCGCGTCTCTCGGGCGCGGCCCCTGGTGTCTGATAGCGTGCAACTAGAGTTGGCTGAGTGGTGCTTTCTGAAGCTGTTTCAAATGAGAAAGATGGCAGAAGCTTAGGTTGCCGTTTGACGCCATCTCGCACTGGTAACATACCAATGGAGCCTCCTGCACTTCTGAACTGTGCGTGCTTGTACCTACATATGCAGCGTGCTTATGTGTATGTGTATATATATATATATACATACATATATGTATATATACATACATGCATATATGCATATTTAAAAAATACATATATATATATATATATATACACATTCAACATGTGCATGTCTTGTAGCGTCTGTATGTATATGTCTATATATAGATATAGATGTATGCACGTGCAGCTGCCAATGCCTGTCTGCTGGCCGAAGGGCCCACTGCGCCGTGCCTCAGAAAAACGAAGCTCTGCGAACTGGACTCGGCTCCCTGGCTGGCACTGCCATCATCCTCCGTCGGCGCCTGACCGCCTAGGAATCGGGAGCTGACGACGCGAGACGCATTTCGTGGCGAAGCAAAACGTGTTCAATGCCCCGAGAGAACTCTATAAAAACGCCTTCTAGTTTATCTCTCAAATGCCCAGTGGCCGTGGGAAAAAGGGCATTCTTTGTTGGTTGACTGTAAAGGGACACCCTTCCCAAAAAAGGAAAAAGGGCACCACTGGGCACCTGAGATCTCATTGCGAGGAGCACAACGGAGCTCAGCATCCTCCTGAAGTTCATGTGGCCAGAGAGCAAGTTGCTTCCAGTTTGGGGCCCTGCAGTTGCTGCGAGCTCGGCAACAGCAACAACCGACGTATCATGAGTTCCCAAAATCACATACTCAACACAGGCCATGTGTTGATTGACGACAGAGCCATTGATATTTGACTTTGTTCAAGCGAACGCTGTGAGCCATCTCCCCCCCCCACAGAAAAAGAGAAAAACCGTGAGACGAAGCCATGAAGCAACTTCCTCACATGGCTGAACTCAAAGGGCAAAGGCCATCGTGTTGCAAACAAGTGCGCATCTCACAACAAAATCGACACAAAGCCTGTGCATTCGCCTTTGACAAAGACTGTGGGATGCGCAATGAGTATTCTGCCTCCAGCGGGAAAGTGGGAGGGTGAATTACCCAACAGCTATTGCAAGGAATCTTGATGTACATTCGCACTTGCGCTACATATGGACCGTGCAGCATGACAGCTCTCTGTTGTGCATCCCGCGGTGCCTTTACCATAAGCATAGAGCTTGCGCTACCGCACTTGTGCTTATTGAGGATATTATCACAATCCATTGAGCCCACTTTGCCCTACAGGGGCGGGCGGGGGCAAACAGGTACACACTTATCATTATCTAAGATGACGCGCGTGGTTTTTGCGTAAGTCAAACTGTTTTGCAACGCTTTCCCATACTAAGGGCTTGGCTGTGGGGGGCGGAGCGAGGGGAATAATCACGCACGTGGTCCACTTTCTCACTAACAAGATGACGCGCGCGTGCCGCGCTGATGATGTGTGTGAACGCTTGCAGTGACATGTTGTTGGGGTAAGCCCTCCGAGGATGTTTCTGGAGTTGGAAAATAACTACGTGGACTGCGTGCAGGTGCAGACCTTCCGCACTACGTACTGGAAGAAGCACTTCTCTTCCGAGGGCCTCAACCCTGAGCTCCTCCTGTGCTTTGCTTATGGTTAAGAGATCTTCGGGCAGCCAAACACTGAGAAAAATGCAAATGATTATTTCATCACTTATTCATCGTTTTGGCATCGTTTGCCCCCGTCATTTGTTCTTCATTGGTTCATCATGTCTCGCGGATTCATGATTTGTCCTCGCTTTCTGCACAAAAGAGGAGAATCCTTGCGAAATGATGAAAAAATGATGAAGACATGATGAACAAATGATGAAACAATGATGAACAGCTGATAGAAAAATAATGATTTGATGGCATTTTCCTTAGTTTTCAGAATTTCCTCAGGAGTTGCAACTTTGCCCGGAAAGTCATCATTTGTTTCATCATTGTTTCATCATTAAACGATGAACAAAATGATGAGAACCCTTGCAAAATGAAGAACAAATGATGAACAAATGATGGAACAAATGATGGAACAAATGATGAACAAATGATGGAACAAAGGATGAACAAATGATGGAAACAAATGATGATCAAAATGATCTCCCAAATGCAAAAAAATGACAAAATAATGTTCTCACTGAGTTCAGTCTATGGCTGTCAAGTTCTCATAAGCTTATGGGGAATTCACAGGAACATCACAAACTTGAAAGCCGAAGGCTGGGTGACGTTCGAAGCTCACCCACAACCTTATCAGGGTTTTGTGTTGGGAGAAAATATCCAGGGTGTCCATCTCCCAAATCTTGCGCCACCTTGCAATAGGATTCCAAGCCCCCCCCCTCCCCGACCCTAAGGCATCTCTCGATCGGCTCGGGCCCGAACGCTCCCCGGCCAGGCGCAGCAGTAGCTGCGCTGCCAGCCGCAGGAGCTGCGCCTGCACCTAGCCGGCGGGCCGACGGGTTGGCTGGGATTCATCAGGGCCACATAACCGCCAAATGAGAAGGGCAAAAGGATGACGCTTACTGTGCATCCACACCCTGCCTCCCACCACTCGTCGTTGGAGAGGGCTGTGAAGCTAGGGAGTAGCCCGAGCACCTTAGAGCCAGAGGCTGGCAACGACGTTTTTGCCTGCAACCCTGTACTGACTAAACAAAGAGCTCCCTCTCATTCTTGTATGGTGTGCTCAAAATTGCGTATCTGTTGCAAGCATGCACTATCAGACAGTATTGAAGAAAAGGCCAGAGTAGCTGCAATTATCTTTATTAGCATCTTTCTTGTCATTCCTATTATTCTGCTTGGCATTAGAACTGATTTATAATTCGAAAGAATTCTGTACGGAAAGACAAGCTGGTCGTTTCTTTTGATTTGCATGCCCCTTAGAAGGAGAGACAAGCCAGTCGAAACTCAAGGGAAATGCAATGTCAGTTCTATCAGTTTACAAGTTTTTAGGTTGCAACGCTTTCAGCTTTAAGCATATAGTGAATAGGTTTCAAGTTAACATGATATGTTGAATTGGAATTTAAATAGGTGCCCCTTTCCACGAAGGAGTTTAACTGGGAATCTAATAAGGAAAGACAAGCTTGCTGTTTCTTCTAATTTGCTAGGCCCCTGAAAAGGAGTGAGAAAAAGAAAAAAATGAAGAAAACAAACACGTACAAACCCCATGGGAAAAAAAAGGATGACTCAGTACGATTTGTTTGCGAGATTTACATTGCGAGGCTTTACATGTAAATTGGATTTTGACTATAATTGAATTCATATGTCTTGAATTAGATGTTAACTGGCCACTTGCCTTCCAAGTAGGATTCCAAACAGGAACTCCTTTTCAGAACTTAGTTAGACCTTCATTATAACTTATATTGCTAGAATCTAGTAAGGAAAGACAAGCTGGTTGTTTCTCCTGCGTGATTCAATAATAAATAGAATGTTGAATCAAGATTTTAACGGAATTTCCTTTCCTGGTTCCTTCCTGCGGAGAAATGTGTTTTCTTACTGACCCCACCTCAAACCTAATTACTAGCTCGCGAGCGAAAGCAAGAAAAAGCAGACCCTAGCTCGGCCAGCATGGATACATTGGGTCTGAAATTGTGGTTGGTCGGTTTGTTGGTTTTCTCGAGGCTTTTTGCGGTTTTTGAAAAGTGTCAAAGAAACATTGGAATATCTACCAAATCCCTAAGTTTCACCCCCCCCCCCCCAAAAGGGGGCCCTTCGGAAATTTGTAGTTGACTGCAGTATCCATCTGCCCTCATGCCTTGCCGCCTCAAGATTGCCAGAAAGCACAGGGGAGATCCTGAATGATTGCTGGATTAGAGACCATCAGATTGCATTCAATATGGCCATGGGCCAAATTCCCGTACCTCCCAGTGAACATCCCAATCCCCACTAAAATAGGTTCTGAAATGGGTGGTGCACCTACCAACCAAAATGGTACCATTGGTTTTCACCCACAGCCATACGCGTGAAGGTCTCTGATTCCTTGGGCTGTTCCGCGGATGGCTTGGGCCCCCGCCGCCTGCGAGTGCTGGGCCACGCCACAGAGGATCGCCACCCCCCCCACGCGCGTCCTGAACGAACGAAGCCGGCGGTTTGGATCGGACACCTGGCACGGAGCTTGTATCATTTCAGCCGCTTGAGCGAAGCAAAACAATGTCGGATGTTGCAAAACTCATATGGAATCCTGGCTTGCGCCTCAGCTTGAAAGGCTGGCAAAAAGGCCCTGGCCCACAAATAGGTTCCATAAAACAAAGAGAGATGCGTGACACTAAGCAGGGAACCCCGGAGGATGGGATGGGACGGGGCATTGGAAGGTTTGGGAGATCAACAAGTGCTGCACCTGGATCCCCTGTGACGGTTGGAGTCAGAGGCGAAATGTCATTGTATGCGCCTGCCGATTGGTGGAGCGCGTGGGTTGGCCTAAAATAAGGAATTGACACAAAAACATAAACTTGGTCAAACCAAGAACTGTAAAGGAACAATGCCCGTGCCATGGAGCAAAATGCCCTGGTGCCTGCTTCTAACAAGACCGGGCTGCAAGCATTGCTGGCCCACCGTTCAACTAGCATCTTGCAAGCGTGGGAATGTTGCAGAATGTGTCCATTCACTTCCAGCCAGTCCCAGCCTGGGCTGTGGGCTTTGCACCGCCATAAGCGCCTCAATTTGAGCGGCGATGGAGCTTTGGCCTCCAATGTGCCACATTGACATGAGGCTCGCTGAATCCAAGCCAAACATCAGGGAGCGCCCTTCAAGTAGGTCAAAAAAGCAGGTGCGGGGAGATCAACCGCTGAAGTCAGAGCCCTAAGCCACCAGGCGTAGTAGATATACAGGTCCAGCAGGTGCTCGTCCAGCAGCCCTGCCTTGCCATCCAGCTGCACCAGGCTGGCGAGGCCTCAGCTGGTTTCTTAAGAAAGACCTCCCAAGCACAGCTTGAAGAGGCTCAGTGAGACTTTAGGCTTTGGATGTGTGTGTGTGTGTGCGTGTGTGCTGCTGCACATCTCGGCCACACCATTCGGAGTCGGTCTTCGACATTGTTGAAAAGAACGTTTTTGACAAGCTCTCAGGGCTCTAACCCAAGCCCCGAAAAGACCATGCCACAAAGAAAGTCAACCAAAAATGAGAACGAAGGAGCGCCGAAATGCGAGCGCGGGCTGCACGTATTCAACAAGACAAAGATAGACAAAGCAGCTCTGTCATCTTTAGCACATGACATGAATCTGATGCTAGGCGCATCAGGCAAAACGGAAGCTCCATGTGACAAGTCTTGCGGGAGCGTATTGCCTGCGTTCCCACACGTTTCCACCAAGCCCTGCGCTGCTACACAAGGCCCACAAGTCTGAACTTAACACTTCCTGCTGGTGCTCTCAGTATGTGGTGAACTAGGCAAGCAGCACCAGTCCAAGCGTCCCATGTGCCTACGCAACAACTTGTGTACTTAGCCAGTCTCGTGCAGCGCTGGCAAACCGCACCCTGCTTCAATAGATAGCCTTCCAAAGACGAGAAAAACATTCAGTGACTCTTGGCTCGGACTTGCAAAAATTAGCCAGTCTCCACTGCAAGCCCATCCGGGGATCCCAGCAAGTGACGAAGACGGACAGGTCATCACCAACCTTCAAAGAGCTAGAGGCTTCAATGCAAACACCCAACTGCCAAACTCGCAGTGAGCTGGACAGCTTTGCCAAATCACAATCACAATCATGCAAGAGAAGGCTCGTGTAGAAGGTGAACCTTTTTTGAAGGTCAACACACTGTACACGGAATAAGTCGTCAAGAGTTTGTCATGCGTAGCAGCTTTCGAAGCAGGGAATCCTGGATGAGTCGAGCGCATGGATCTTTTTAGGCTACATGCTCTTTCCCTGACAGGCGAACGAAGCGGGTTCAACAAATTGTCTTTGCACTCGCCTTCTTCAGTATCATGTTTCGTGGCAGTTCCATTGGAAGGTGACATCGAAAGTGGCCAGTCTCCTGCGATCCAAGGGCTGGAAATCTGATGAGTGGTGAGCTGGAAAGTCGCTAGGAAATTGCCATGGCGTCTCAGGATGTCCCAGCATTTTGGAGCGCCCGCTTGCCCGCCGGCAATGACCTGTTGTCCAGGAAGGTTTGGCATGGTGGCCAAGCTGGTCCTGTGGACTGTTGTGTCGATGGGGGCAAATGTCCAAGCCTTCACTCCCAGAGAAGCTCTAGAAAAGGTAGCGCAGGCGTACGCAACCCCCCTCAAAGAGGGTCTTGAGGATGGCAAAAAGAGTTGAAGCACCTCGCACTGGCCAGAAGTGCAAGACTGCATTGAGGACCTTGGTGTTGCCACGCCATTGAAAGATGCAGGTCAGAAAACAAAATCTCCGGATAGCAAAGGCTAGAAGGAGGATGTAGAGGATCCAGGGGCTACCCAAAGGCCAGAAAGGAAGTTTGTGAGCATGAGCACGTTGGCTGCGGGTTTGCGGGTTGGGGGGCCATGTTGGCAATGGCACCGCCAAACAAGCTGCATGCCTGGTGGCTCAACATAGCCGGGACAAATGGTTGGGTCAAAGTCCGGGGTCTTTGGAAGCAATGGCCATGAATGACAAGAAAGACCCAGTTCACAAGGCGCGGCTCGGATTGGAAGCCCTGGGAGAGCGTGCAGACGTTGTTTTCTGGGCCCGTGGCTGTGACACAGCTCCGATGGATATGGCAAGTAGAAGCATGTGGGGCGGTTTGGAGGCACAAGGACGAGTAACTGCTTGAGCTGCGGAAACTTGTTGCGCATGATTTGGAACAACCACAGGGTCAAGCAATGCGCAGGCACCCGGCGGGCGATAAGGGTATTGATGCGGAGAAGCAGCTTTTCAAAACGCAAGAATGCAAAAAGTTAAACCATTTGTACAAGTTCTGTGGCAGGAAACTTTGCGGCATGATGGCAATTCTGGCCACCAGAATTGCCCACATTGCGGAGAGGGCCGGACATTGTGTCACATGCTGCATGGGATACGAGACTAGACAATGCAAATGCAAGGGTACTGGTGCCGTATCTGGCTGTGGCATTGTGCCAAAGCTTTGGACACAGGTTGCAAGGACAAAGGATGCGCAAATTGTGCGCACGGGGGCAGTTGCAGAGTCAGGAGCGGTCCACTGAAAACTTGGTGTTTGGGACGGATGGATCCAGAACCTGGACGTGGGCTGCGGCAGCCTGCAGCGTTTCCATCAGGTACGCTGTGGGCATTGTCAAGTGAACGACAGCCCATCCTTGCCAGCTCCGGAGACGGATACGCAGAGATCCCGCACGGGATTTTCAAATAAACCGGACATTTGGAAGCAGGTGCGGCAGAGGTGTTTAAGACATGCAATTGAAGCCTTCTTAGCAGGGACTGACGCAGAGGACATATGGGCATGGCATGCAATGCATCAGCAGATTCGCTTGTAGCTTCCCTTACCAAAGCTAAAGACGAGGTGCCAAAGCGAGAGGGGGTCATGGCTTTGGACTGGCAAGAGCTACGTGCTCATGGGCAGCTGTCGAGGCACAAAGAGAACATATCTGATATCGATGAGGGGCTGAGGTGCCCAGCAACAGCCAGCCAGTTGCCCGAATGCACAAGCAAATCCACTACACGCACCCACGTGCTGCTGTCAAGCCAGGTGGAAGTGTGTATGTAGTGCCTTTTTCGTTGCTTCAAGGCCTCGGGTCAGCAACATTAAAACATGTGGAAAGCAACATCGAGTCAGGCGCAGTGGCATGACGCCTGGCATGTCTTTGCAGAAGCCCGCCTTCTCCTTCAGCGACCGCAAGGCCAGAATGTGGTTCAGCGTGTCCTCCCAACCACTAAGCCGTCGTGAATTGGCGGAACTGGGAGCCTCAACCGTATCACTCACTACGGCACATCTCAGAATAGTAAACATGGGTGCATGCGTTGTTGCCGAATTAGGAGCAGCCTACTCTCTGCTGCAAACAGCTGCTTACTAGGACCACACAAATCCCATAACGTGCTGGCTTGCATGCTATTGGGGAACTATGCTAGAACTTTAGATTGTCAAGCCTCGATGTTAAAAAGCAAACCGTAGTTGCGAGTGGAACGTGGCCCTGGAAGGGCGGGTGCGGGATCAAAAAATAATTATTTACGAGATCAAAAAGAAATTATCGACACCCGGATCAAAAACAAATTATTTACAGGATCAAAAACAAATTATCGCGCCTGGGGGTGCCAAAACGCTGTAATTTACATCATTTTCGGGCAACAGCGCGCGCATTTTACGGCTCCAGCTGAAAAATAAACACTTTCCAATACAAGCGCAGTACGCGAAGGTCACTTTGGCAGCTCCAGTTCGAAAATCACAACTTTTCAGATACAAGCGCAGTTCTATCAACGAATCTAGCATCGGTTAAATGCCTGTAGGGTTGGCTTAAGGTTGTGTAGGGTTGATGTAGGTTGGGTTTCGGGTGGGTTTGGGTTGGCTTAGGTTGGTTTAGGGTTGGCTTAGGATTGGTTTAAGGTGGGTGCAGGTTTGGCTTAGGGTCTGTTTAGGGTGGGTTTGGGGTGGATTCAGGCTTGGTTTAGGGACGGTTTAGGGTTTGTTTACGGTGGGTGGATTTAGGTTGGTTTAGGGTAGGTTTAGGTTGGGTTTAGCGTTGGTTTGCGGGTTTAGGGTGGGTTTGGGGGCGGCTTAGGGTTGGCTTGGGAATCGTTTAGGGCTGGGCTAAGTTTACGGTGGTTACCTTGAAACCAACCTACACAACCTTAAGCCAACCCTAAACCCAGCCTAAACCCTAAACCTGCCCTAACCCTACCCTACACATATTGGTTTAGGGATGAGGTGGTTCTAGGTTGGCTTCGGGTAGGTTTAGGGTGGGTTTAGGGTTGGTTTGCGGGTTTAGGGTGGGTTTAGGGTTGGTTTAGGGTTTAGGGTCGGTTGAAGGTCAGTAGGGTTGGTTTAGGGTGGGTTTAGGGTTGGACGAGGTTTGGTTAGGGTTGCTTTAGGGTTGGTTTAGGGATGGTTTAGGGATGGTTTAGGCTGGGCTAAGGCTTGGTTTAGGGTGAGTTCAGGTTTGGCTTGGGGCTTGAAAGTTAGGGTTTTTATGGATATCCGCCGACATTGCTCGGCGTGTCGGATACTTGCTAGAGGATAGAGGATAACCCCCCCCCCCTAACCCCCGCCGGCCGACGTCTATTACGTAGGTTTTTTTTTTTGGGGGGGGGGGGCCCACGTGCCGCGCGGCAATTTGATGACGTTCCACTAAACGTAGTCTTCGGGGAGCCGGTGTCGCAAAACAGGGGTCCCAGGCTCGATTCCCCCTGCCGGCTTTTCTGCTGGCTTGGGCTTCCTGCATCCTTTTGCCGAAAATCTGGAAAAACTCAATGTTTTTGGACGTCCTCTTTGCGAAAACGCTGGAAAAACCGTGTTTTTTTTGCGGGAAATACTGGGGAGCAAAGGGGAAGTGCAAGGATACATACATACATACATACATACATACATACAGTACATTACATTACATACATACATTACATGACATTACATGACATTACATACATACATACATTACATACATTACATACATTACATACACATGCATACATTACACATACATACATACATACATTACATACATTACATTACTTACTTACTTACTTACTTACTTACTTACTTACTTACTTACTTACTTACTTACATACTCACATACATGCATACATGCATACATACATACATACATACATACATACATACATACATACATACATACATACATACATACATACATACATACATACATACATACATACATTACATACATACATACATGCACATACATACATACATACATACATACATACATACATACATACATACATACATACATACATACATACATACATACATACATACATACATACATACATACATACATACATACATTACATACATACATACATACATACATACATACATACATACATACATACATACATACATACATACATACATACATACATACATACATACATACATACATACATACATACATACATACATA